ATTCAGGACTAGTTTAAGAGCAACTAGCTGATGTAGTTTGTTGAAATCACCATGGAGCTTAGCAATCACGTCATCTGGAGAGCGGCCAGTTGTAATCAGTATCGTGTCATCTGCAAAAAGATTTACCCTGGAATGATCCAGGTCAGTGCCCAGGTCATTGACATAAAGAGAGAACAAGAGGGGGCCGAGGATGGAACCCTGTGGAACCCCTTTTGTTATCTTAACACTGTTTGACCTCCAACCATCTGTGAATACAGTTTGGGTGCGAGAAGAGAGGTAATTTTTTAACCATTCTACTGTGTGTTTGGAGAAACGGAGGCAACTTAATTTACTAAGCAGGAGGTTGTAGTCAACTGTATCACAGGCTTTGGACAAGTCAAGAAAAAGACTGGTGCAGTACTGCTTATTATCAAGGCTACTGTAAATGTGATTCAGAGAGTCTAATGCAGCAGATGTGATGCTGTATGTTTTTTCGGAACCCAGATTGTTTTCGATGTCATATTGTTGTCGGACAGGAAACAGCTAATTTGGTAGTTCAATAATTTTTCAAAAATTTTCATCAACGGGGAAAAAATTGAGATAGTTCGGTAGTTATTTGGATCATCTTTAGGGCCCCCTTTGTGAAGTGGATGAACATAGGAATGTTTGCATTCTAGAGGTACTGATGCTTCTTTGATGGACAGGTTGAAAATATGCGCTATAGGTTTGTATATTAGGTGACCAACAGTTAGTAGAGCAAAGACGGGAACACTATCTGCTCCGGTAGAGGAGGACCCTTTGAGGTAGGACAGTTGTTTCAGAACATTACTTTCGTGGATTGGCTGGAAACTAAATTCGTTTAATGTTTGGACAGGGGTGTAGGAATTTGCATTGCCAGGGGTGACTCGCAATACATTATCAAAAAGGTCACCAGCTTCAGAAAAATGAGGGTAAAAATTTTGGTTTAAAGCTTTCGTGACTGCAGTAATTCATATTCTTAGCTCTTTCGGTAAAGTCACGTGGTGCTAACGTTTTTTAAAAATAAATAAATACAGCGTTTATAAATAAATAAATGCAAACCACCACTTCTTTCAAATGTTTCTTGCTGTTGCTTTTTCACACCTGATGATGACCGTTTGTGTTATGGTCGAAACGTCGTGAGAATTTTTATTGTTTTATATATATTTTATTATTTTATTGTTTCCCTTCAAAGTGACTTTACCGAAAGAGCTAAGAATAAGGTAAAAAATGTCAACTATTTTTTGGGGCTCTGAAAAATATTCCCCATTTCGGTTAAGCTCAATGGGCAGATGATCTTTTTTGGATGCTTTTTCGATACATTTTATTGTTTTCCAGAAGATCCTGGCATTTCCATGTGATTCCAGAAGAGTGGAGGAAAAGTAAGCATTTTTTGCATGCCGTATTTTTTTGACGCATCTATTCCTTAAAATCCTGTATTCTAGCCATTGACCAAATGACGTTTCTGAGCACATGCCCAAGCCTCGTCCCTAGTATTTCCTGAGCTTAGTAATCAAAGGATCAAACCATGGTGGCCCGTTGCCTTTAGTTTTAAATCTAACCAACGAAGCATGTTTGTTAAGAATTTTGAGAAACGTGTACCTGAAGGTCTCCCAAGCCGTAGTCAGGTTGGGGATATCACAGACCTTGTCAATATCCGAGTGAAGCACATCATTAGTAAATGCCTGAATGCTGAAGTGTCTCATGGAGTGCTTCTCAACCAATTTAGGGGGGGCTTTGGGTCTGGCTGATGATCTCACCCCAAATATGGAGTGATCATTAAGGTTATTACCCATAACACCAGTCAGTGCGAAATTGTGACCGGCATTTGTCAATAGGACGTCAAGCAGAGATGACTGTCCCGGATGTTTTAGGTTGGGTCTTGTGGGGACATTTTTTATTGAAATAGGTTAAATTCATCTGCAAAATTCGTGGCCACAGCCGGCGGGTTTAGCCAATTCCAATTTAGATCACCCACTGACATTGCAGTCAGTCAACCCATGGCGCCTGGTTCTGTCCTAATACCTGTCAGAGAGCCATCGATACTTCACGTGGCCTCAAATTGCACCTGGCCTGGCACAGGCGGCTTGGTGACGTCACCGTTACTTCGTGGCGAATGGTGGATATTGGTATTGGTCGATTTTGAGTTGGTCTGTTTCGGTACATATCTGATGTGCGTCTTAATCGGTAAGTGGAGAGCGGTAGTACAGCGGTTCACACTCTTGTGCTGCAATTCTTGTTCACAGACAACACCAATGGCGATTATCTCAATGGGTCCTGGGTCTCGCCTACCACTCGGCCTGAAATTAGTATCTGGTGCGATATGTAAACATCGCCACTCGGGAGACAGACGACTGGGCGTGGTACTTGTCACCCACCCCCCTCGTGTTGCCATGCCGGCCTTCATAAGTGCTACTCGCTAACAGCACTTGCCCCAAGTCTGTTAAGGCTATCTTTGTTAATCGGTACCGTGCCGGTTTCAAAAATTCAGGTTGGCCTGCCTACGATCCATCCTAGGTTTAACCAAACGAGATCACAGATCCTTTCAAATGTTTGTAGAGTAGTTTCACTCGGTCTGTGCGGTTGCAGTGTGATTTCGTGCAAATGCGGCAAACCTATTCTGACGCAAAAGTTTCCTTTGTGCGGTTTTAATTCACTTTACATGCAGCAATGCACGTGTGTGGTGCTTGTGTGCGCTACTCGACAGGCAGCCGGCTCCTCGTTCGATGCATCGTCCTTTGGGTGAATGCGGTTCATGCTACGCATAAAGGGAGGTAAACCTGTAGTGTCATCGGTGAGCTCCTTCGGCAGGCAAAGAATAGGGCGTGTGAGTTTATTCGGGCGTAGCCAAGTACTGTACTCACCGTCACATCGCCCGCATGCCCAAACAGCTTCTGTTTGGCCGGATAGAGGGGGCTAAATGGGCACGGCCCAGTCAAAAACTGAGATGGAGCTGATGTGGTACAGGAGGGAGTGGGAGCTGAGTGGACTTTCCGATGACCGGTATCAGTGGGGTCAAGATCGACCTATATGGAGGAGGCTCGTGAAGGCAGTTGTAGGCAGTCGCCTACTGTGCCGAGTTGGGCTAGTGGGAAGCACAGCTGGTGTCTCTAACAGTCATCTGTCAATCCATGACAACCTGGGTCTGTCCCGTGCCCTTCTGCCAACGAGCTTTCGACACTTCACATGACCTCAAAGTGCACCTAACCTGGCACAAGCGCCGTGGTGACGTCGACCATAACTTCGTGGCGGACGGCGGCTGTTGTAGTTAATAGCTTAAGGTTCTGTCAGCTGCGGTGCTTGTACGTGTTTGAGTGTGGGTGAGCGCTTGTGTGCCCTAGGGTACTCGGGGGGGGGGGGGGGGGGGTCTGGGTTAAGAGGCTGTGGCGTAAAGCGCCAGCCCGTGACCGTGTCGTGTAACTCGCAGGGCGAAGTTAAGACCGTGTCGTCAACAGGGGAAGGCACTGAAACACCGAGCTCGGCTCGACTGTGAGAATGTCCGGGTGGTACTTTGATACCAGCGAGGTGGGGGTCGCGCGGGATTATGAAGCGCAGCCGACAGGCCACCAGCCGAGCCCTGCCCCCTTCCCAAATCTCGCCAAGGCCGCTCAGGCGCTCGCTGACATAGCAGCGGGCGCGCCAGAAGGGAACCCCCACGGGGGCTGCATGTGTAAGTAGCAGGAAAAGAGAAATGGGGAGACAGGATACACGGGAGAAGCGGGGACAGAAAGACACGGAGAGACAACATGGAGGCATGGAGCAAGATCCGAGACACGCAGACAAGTACACGGGAGAAAAATGTGGATATAGACGCTTTGAGTCACGGATGCGTGGACACATAAATGGGGAAGAGACACGGAGATACGGCCATGGAGACACGCGGAAAAAACACATTAATAAGAGTAACGAATTGGCACGTTTTGTTTACATGACAAACCTGACCATTTGGCTGTCGGGTGGTGGAGGATTTACCATTTATATTCACGCGTTCTAACCCAAAAAAACCCTCTTATGGATATTGGTCGCGAAAACCTACGTGTTAAAATACTCTTAACTGCGCATCCAGCCACTTTCGCACTCACCCTCCCGCTCACCGACCCTCTCACTCCCACCCGCTCATTCATTCACCCACCCGTTGCTAATCAAGTGTTCTCACCATTACACCATAAAACTTGAGGTTCCTTCGTTCTCAGTTAATCTATATGTATAAAAGGGAAATTTGTGAATGTCTGTTCAAAAAGTTTAGCATACTTTCCGATATGCAACAAACTTGAAATTTGGCATGTGGGTAGCTTCCAGACTGTACACAATGCAAAAGTATAAAAACTTTTGTATTTTGGGGGGGGAGGGGCGCAATAATGGGTACATTTTGCACGGCAAGTGAGCAGTGACGTCACATCTGTGATGTCACCCGCATGCGGCATCGTAACGGAGTGTGCCTGGTGACGTCACACATCCCCCCCCCACCCTCCGCGTAGGCCGTGTATTAATCCAAGACAAGAATCCAAGTCTCGGGCGAAGCCGGGTAGTTAAAGCTAGTGCAAAATAAACTATAACCAACCCTCGTGATTCTTCATGCTAAACTGACATTCTGTGACCAATTGAAAACTGCGCTGTAATAAGATACTTATTATTTGTATGACTGTTTTATTATTCGCTTGTCTTCCCAGGAAAGCCTGAGGGCGTCTCAACTCTTTGTCAGGAGGGTCCTCCCAGTGTTCTGCAGTCGGGAGCAATGTCGCTGCTGTGCGTAATCCCATTTGAGTAATTTGCAGGTTATTTGTCAGTTGGTATGTTTGGCCAATTGTAGTTGCATTGAATGTCTTTTCGCTAAGGATGGAAAAATTGAGAATCCGGAGAAAATCCACTCAGTATAGGGGGAGGACATACATACAAATCCAGCTCAGGATCTTCTTGCTGTGAGGCACGAGCATTAAAGACTGTGCTGTCGCCCTTCTGCTCACTCAGTCACGTATTGACATGTATTGTGTTAAGATAAAATATTTTGTCTTACAAAAAAATATTTAATTACTTTTAAGGTGTTAAAAATATAACTACAAATTCGCAAACATCAAGAGCATACAAAAAATGAAAACCCACATGGGAATTAACCTGACAAACTGGACATGTCTGTTAACCACTCAACCAAACCATTGCTTCATTCAGGAAAAGCTCAATCTGAAACAAATTTATTGTTATTGCATTGTTTTAACCTGGGACAAAAATCTGTGAGCAGCAATCGATAGAAGTAGATGAGCATGATAATATTCATGAGGTTCAATACTATACAGAAGAAAAGTGGATGCATCAAGAGCTGCCATTGTACAATAACATAGGCAGTTAGGTAGGCCTGTGCACCGAGACGAAAAATTACATATGTGAATGCGTTAAGGTATCGGTTGAGTCGATAGGCCCGACTGCAGCCTGCGTTGGCTCCTGCCAGCTTCATGAGCAGACGCGCGTGCAGAAACACGCTGTTCACTTCTACAAGCAGGGCCACTGTGGTCCCAGCGACGTACTGTCGGGTCAGCAGCGAGTACCCGAAACACGACAACACCTGTAGGAGCACAACAGCACAGGTGATATATTGCAAGGACTGGCCAAGGATATGTAATAATAATCACCATCTTTGCATTTACATGGCGTGGATGAAGTGGCTCGGCAACTGAAAGCGACTTTGCATCACATCTCAATCGTTCGGAGGGCACCCCCAGTGGCAGCTGTCCCTGTGCGACGCAAGGCGACTCTGCATTCGGGGCTCGAGTACGCAGCCATTCCGCAGACGCGGAACTGTGCGAGAGCCGTTGCTATGGGTGACGTCACTGCCATTCCAACCAGCCAAATCAGCTACAACGGGGATTTTGGCACCAATTTCCAGCAGCAGAAGAAGAATGAACTCAGCGTCTGAAAGGATGGACACTTGTTTACGATGCGGATCGAGCGGCGGCAGGAGCCACATGAGAAACGAGCGCACGTGGCAGAGGCAAGCACAGCAATGTTGTCTTCATAGTTTAATAAATCGTTTTCATTGTCTTCATAGTTTATTATATCGTAAAAATTATGTTAACCATAATAGAAATTTTGATAAAGTATAATGCAATGTTGTTAATGTTATAGGCGTATTACTTTGTTAGGAATAATGTTAATATTAACCACAACCATTCCCCACAACCGCTCAAACCACAACCATACACCACAACAAATGCTCAAAGAACCACAACCATACACCACTCAAACCGCAATCATCACAAGAAGTGCATCAATACACGCAGCTTCAATCACTCGAACACAACTACACCAACAAACACATGGTACGCCAAATAGGCACAGCATAGGTGATGACTGTCATCCAGCTTGACGAACTGTGATTGACCATGCAGGTATGACTCAATCAACCCCAGTGCCATACCCAATACATTGAACCTTGACCTAAGATGCTCGATGAGTATCTCTTGGTCGATGGTGTCGAAGGCAGCTGAGAGTTTCAGTTTCAGTTAATTTATTTTGGTATAGCCCTGTGAGCTATTCGGCTCTTGAATCGGGTGCAACCACAACAAACGAAAAAAACATCTTAAAGTGACTATGTGACTGTGCAAACAGAAAAACCATGAAAAAACAGCAAAATATTCCTGAAAAAAGCACCGTACACCAACGCTGTGTGCTAAAAATCCCAGTGGGATGCAAGTCAAACAACAACCACAAGAAAACTTAGATTAAGGCCATCAGTCTAACTCCGTACTACAACAAAACAAACATGTCCAAACCAAAAAAACTTTTCGAAATCACCAAAAAATAAAGCCATAATTGCAATGTAACAGTGAGCACAGGGACTGTGACCGAATTTTTACAATAAACTACATAAATAACATGTAACACCAAATCCTAGAGCCATAGCTGGCTGCATGAGTTACTCCACAACAACAGAGATTGAAGCCAACCAATGCTGTGGTGCACCAGTCATCCGTGAGCTTGTAGAGGTCATCAGTGATCTTTAGTAGAGCCATCTCAGTGCTGTGGAGCTTCCAGTATGCAGACTGTAACAGGTGGAATCTGCCCATTTCAGTGATGTAGGGAAGTAACCGCCTCAAACAATGGTTCCCTATGACCTTTTAAATCGTACTCAGGTTTGAGATCAGGTGATAGTTTGCCGAGTCACTGACTCAAGCCAGCTTTTTTCAGGAGTGCTGTCACCTGCGCCATTTTGAACTGGTCTGAAAAACAGCCTTCACTGAATGAAGGATTTTGCCAGGTGGACAATGAGCGGTTCAAGCACGTCCGTGTATGATTTGAAAATCGATGTATAGATGCATTCGAGTTGCGATGTTAATTGGCAGCTGTCCAATGAACATTGACACCTCTGCCACCGAGGTTGGTGCCAGGGTCTCGAGTTTTTCATTGGTTCCAGGTTGATCAAACTCAGATGGAAAATCGGGAGAATCCATTGCCTTCCAGCTTGAAACTGCCATCTTGGTCATGACTATTTTATTGGTGAATAACGTCACAAGTACTGTTTACAGACCGGGTTGACAAGTTGATGGGTCGTTGGAGTGCAGCAGACCCTTCACGATGCGCCACAGAGCACAGGGATCGTGAGCCGACCCCCATTGATGCACAGAGCACTGAACGATCTGCGAGACTCAATAACGAGTCAGCTGACAGATCTGCAGGCAACTCTATAAGCGAGGCGGACAGTCTTGAAACCAGTTTTCTTTCAGAGATGCTATAGCCTCTGCGTCCACTTCACTGCAATCGCCTCCGGTAACAGCCATTTACCCTTTGGTTCTTTCGGTAAAGTCACGTAGAAAATAAAATTAAATAATAGGATACGACGTTTCGATTGCAACACAAGCAACCATCATCAGGTATAAATGAATGAGAAAACAAACATAGTAAACTTGGAAATATAATGCAATACCACACAGAGTCGGCTAACACAACAGTCAACACCCCACCTGGTTGATTACGTTCTTCCAAAGATTGCAAAATTTGAGAGAGAGAGAGAAAACACAGACATTGAGACACATAGACACACATGCAGAGAGAGACACAGAGAGAGACACTAAGACAAAACAGAAAGACAACGCCTCTGTGTCGAGGCCTTAAATAGAGAGAGGGGGGGGAGGGGTTGGAGCAGAGAGGGGGGGGGGGGCAGAGAACAACGAAAGAGCTGTGTGGAATTCCGGACCATAGTGCCCGGAGTACAGACAATGGACCCATAAACAAACCAGCACGGCAATTTTTAGAGCAAGAAAATTGGAAGTTTGAGAAAGCAAATTTAGTCAAATTAGGAAGTGTAATGCAATGTAACACAGAGAGTCGGTTAACACACAGTTAACGCATATCCTGGTTGATTACGTTCTCCCAAAGATTGCTAAATTAGAAGTTGAGCGTAAGTTGTGAGGAAACCCTCCCCGTAGAGGTGGTTCAAATTAGAATTGAAGCTTTCGTGGCTGCAGGAATTACTCTTTGGTTCTTTCAGGAAAATCACGTAGAAATAAATTAAATAATAGAATACGACGTTTCGATTGCAACACACGCAACCATCATCAGGTATAAATAAATGAGAAAACAAACATAGTAAACTTGGAAATACAATGCAATACAACACAGAGAGTCGGCCAACAAAACAGGCAACACCCCACCTGGTTGATTACGTTCTTCCAAAGATTGCTAAATTTGAGAGAGAGACTCACACTCACACAGAGACAAACAGAGAGAGACACACACATAGGCACACAGAAAGACAACGTTTCTGTGTCGAGGCCTTAAATAGAGAGAGGGGGGCGGGGGCAGAGGGGGAATTGTGTGGAATTCCTGCCCATAGGGGGGCGGACGAGCTGGACACTGGACTTTTAAACAAACAAGCACGGAGCGTTGTGTGGAATTACTGCCCAAAGCGGCCAGAGGAGAGAATGGACCCATACACAAGCACGGCAGAAAGCAAATTTAGTCAAATTAGCAAGTGTTATGTTTGTCTGTGTGAGTCTCTCTCTGCTTGTGTGTCTGTCTGTGTGTCTCCGTGTCTATGTTTTGTCTCTCAAATTTAGCAATCTTTGGATGAACGTAATCAACCAGGTAGGGTGTTGACTGTTTTGTTGGTCGACTCTGTTGTACTGCATTATATTTCCAAGTTTACTATTTTGTTTCCTCATTCATTTGTACCTGATGATTGTTGCTTGTGTTGCAATCGAAATGTATTATTATTTAATTTATTTATACGTGACTTTACCGAAAGAACCAAAGAGTAACTCAACTTCTAATTTACCAATCTTTTGAAGAACGTAATCAACCAGGCTATGCGTTAACTGTGTGTTAACCGACTCTCTGTGTTGCATTGCATTACGCTTCCTAATTTTACTAAATTTGTTTTCTCAAACTTCCAATTTTCTTGCTCTGAATATTGCCGTGCTTGTTTGTTTGTGGGTCCATTGTCTCTTCTCCGGCCACTATGGTCCAGAATTCCACACAGCGCTTTCTTTGTTCTCTGCCATAATCCCACCCCCCCCCCTCTCTCTGCCCCAACCCCTCCCACCTCTCTCTATTTAAGGCCTCGACACAGAGGCGTTGTCTTTCTGTTTTGTCTTGGTGTCTGTCTCTCTCTGTGTCTCTCTGCATGTGTCTGTCTATGTCTCCATGTCTGTGTTTTGTCTCTCTCAAATTGAGCAATCTTTGGAAGAACGTAATCAATTCTAGATTTAAAGCTTTCGTGACTGCTAGGATCCATACTCTTTGGTTCTATTGGGTAAAGTCACGAACCAAAGAGTAAGAACGTAATCAACCAGGTAGGGTGTTGACTGTTTTGTTGGTCGACTCTGTGTTGTATTGCATTATATTTCTAAGTTTACTATGTTTGTTTTCTCATTCATTCTTACGTTATGATGGTTACTTGTGTTGCAATCGAAACGTCGTATTTTATTATTATTTAATTTATTTATTTTCTACGTGACTTTACAGAAAGGACCAAAGAGTAATTCCTGCAGTCACGAAAGCTTCGAATCTATCCATTTACCACGCGCTTTCCCCGTCCTCTTTGTTCCTGTTCGGATGGGTGCGCGTTCATCAAGAACAGCAGTGATATTATTTTTTGATTGAGCTGCAAATGAATCGACCATCTCTGCAGGTTTTAGACACGCCGATGATGACGAGATTTTCTGATGGAAAGCATCGTGGTTACAGCCATCACCCACCAAGCCATGTTCTCACTACATGGTCAGTCTCACTAATGCTACTTTCAACAGACTGGTAAAAGATATCTGCAGGGGTAAGTGTCATGGCCCAGTGGTAGTGTGTTTGCTGCTTTGTTGCCAAGCCGACTTTCAACATTAGCCTCTGTTTCTTAGGATTAAAAATCAGCCTTCCACCTCTGCTTCATGACGATGGAAAGAGACTCCAATTAAATTGCGTAGAAGTACAGTCTTTATTCATCAGATGTGTAGAAACACGTCTGATCAGGGAGATAGATGTCTGAGCAAGATTAATTCAATCGTATTATTTGCTATTCACATGTTACAACATTCATTCACATTCTGCTGCCAAAATCCATGATTGCAAGTACGAGCTTGAAAACGTGCTCATTAACATCAAGCCAAAGCAGCTGAAGCATAATATTCTTGCCTCTGTATTGGTTGAATAGGATGCCAAGGCTGCTGAAATATGCACCACTTCAGAATTTGCTTCAGACGTCAGATGCTACTGATGAGACTGAAAAAGTCAAAACCAGTGCATGTTTTTTCTGCTTAAACCATGCTGTAGGAAAATATTAGTTTAATAGCCAGGAGATGAAACTGTTTCTTTATTTGTACACCGGGCAACAGGCTTTTATATGATTAAGTTGTTTTTTGGTTAGGCCACGAAATGATCTGGCCAAATATGTCTCAAGACCCTCCACCACCCAACGTAGCCAAACAAATCAAATTGACATGTGTATAAGATTTATCGAACCAAGTATTATGGTTTGAGCTGACAATTTCTTGGAACTGGGTCAACCATCTTCAGGTCGATGTTCTAAAATCGAAAAATGTGCATGGGGCATTGACATGGCCCAGTGGTAGTATGTTCACTATTGCAGAGGTTCACAGTTGGAATTTGGCAGGCTGTCCTGATGAAAACTGAGTGATTAACCATAAGAAATGTGACATCTGCTTTACAGTGGATGTTAAAGATCCTGTGGCATCATTCTAAACGAGGAGGCCATTTGTGTACCGACATCGCAATCCAACTTTAATACGTAGGCTTTCTCAACCAATGCCATACTCTGGTCTTCACACATGATTGGCTCACAAGTGACAACATTACATTTATCCCTATGTTTAAGACCAAAATAGGAGGATTTCTCCATAACTCTGCCTGTCGCCTGATGGGGCTCGTTTGAAATACCGGTGAATCGTCCGAATTGTACATTTTGTGCATTTACTCTCCAATACACCAGTGTGCTCAACGAGTAACGAATTACCATGTTTTCTTTACATGACAAACCTTATTAATAGACTGTCACATGGTGGCGGGTTTAACTACATTTATATTTACGCGATCTAACCCCAATAATCTCTATTATGGATCACAATCTAAATTTGCCAAAGTTGAAAATTACTCAATTGGGATTAAACATAGTAACAACGCTCCATTTTTATATACTTGGTTCTTTCGGTAAATTCACGTAGAAGGGAAATAATAAAATAATACAAGAATATGAATCCCTGCAGTCACAAAAGCTTTAAATCGAAATCACTCCTTTTTGTTTAAACTATTTGAGAATGCGTGAAACAGTGCCTCCATGATAGCATTGTACTATAATGGCACGAAAACCACAATAACTATATAATTCTTATCATTATTAAGTAGGTTTAGGGTTAATGTAATTATCAATGAGTATAAATGCATGAGATAACCAGGAACGAGGGAAGATGACAAATGCGGAGGGGCACAAGGAGGAGCGGAGAGTGGAAACTGCCCTCGAGGATCATGAGACACTCACCAGCGCATGGTGAAATAGAAACTCCCATGAAGCCTTCACCTGACCACTCCAAACAATATCCAGTGTGTCCTGCAAGAAATAGCCTGCACAGAGCCACACGTCAAATTACTTCACACGCAATGAAGCTGCGGAACATTGTGCAATCTTTATAGCTTTACGCAGTCAGGAGTACGATTCATAATTAAATTTTGTTCTGAAGCTGGTTGGCAAATTTTCAGGAAAAACATCATTTATGTAAATCGGTACCTGACAATTACATTTATTTGGTGATATCTGGTGAAGGGTCATGGGACACAAATTTGGCTGGCTGATTACATAATTTTTTTGCCTAGCCCAAAAAATTATTATGAATCATAACCATTGTGAAAACATCCCTCCCTTACCTGTGGAGATGGCTAGGAGCACGTTCATTGGCAGAGTATAGCTGGTAAGGTCAGTCAACACCTCAGGAAAGAAAATCAAGCTGGAAAAACAAATAGGATTAAGGTTAAAATACTCAATTCATAAAATACACTCATCGATGAAGGCCCACAACACCAAGTGGCCGACTATAAATAGCATTATTAAATGTGTAGTGAGTTAAACTGAGTCGCAGACATATACTTGGAGGCAACACATTAATTAACTCCGACACAAAAGGGATAACTTTCCCTTAACAGAATAACAACCTATGGTGGTGACCACCAGGCTAACTACACTAGTTACAATGTAACTGCTACTATGGACCGGGATCACAGCTTGGGTCCAGGTCCACGTGTTGGAGACTCGAAGAACGTAGGACGTAGACATAGACGAAGGTTTCTTAAGGATTAACAAAAACGCCGGTCCCTCTGGGAACCCGGTTTATATTCTCTCCGCTGTGGCTGGCTCCGCTCTTCCAGAATCCTCCGGAAGGTTTTGGATGCTAACTACGTGACCACCCCAACCCCCAATTGGGCCCCTAAGTAAACTTAACTGGTCACGTGTCCTCTCGGGTCAACCAGTGCCATGGCCTTCAGTAACCTCATTCCTACGGCCGGCACTTCCACACCCTGTCCTGTAGGGCTGACACTGCACCCCAAGCGGGGTGCCATTTAACGCTATTAATCAGCGCTCACCGAGCCCCTCTAGGGCCGGGACTACACCCACATCATAGTCGTGTCCGCGATGTCATTACACCACACGCAATGCCTCTCTAGGGCAGGCACTGTACAGTGACATCCCGCGATGTCACTACATCACACCCCCCCCCCCCCCCTTCGTAGCACTCAGCCGTCCCAGGCTGTCAACTCCCCCTCAACAAAACAAAACGAACAACCCCTTAGTGTGCCTCAACAAATAAATACCCCAACCCATCTATACAATATGTACACTATATACAGAATATATAGTAACTAATGGGGAAAGGAGACGAGAGATTAGAACAACAATAGGCAAAAACCAAGGAAGAGAGAGAAGGTGAGAGAGAAGGGAAGAGAGAGAGGAAATAAAACAAAATGCAGTAACACGTGAAACCTCGGGACCCCCTCCAGCACCAGCATCTCCCACCCTCACCGTGTAACAACACCCGCAAGCACAATAAAGGCCAGGTTTAGCAAATAACCAATACGGCCTGCCGAGTGCGACAACCAACTGACGGTGTGGGAGTGTGTGTATGGGGATCACGAAAACCCGAAGAGTCTTTGATCGAGTCCTTGTGGCAGGGCTCCCAGGGGAGGTGGGCGTACTCTCCCTGGGGGTTTGGGGGGAATTTGAAAATGTCCTGTCAAACCCGGCTCCTCACAAAGAGCAGCTGGCCGGGCAAACGGGCCTTCCTCTCCCGAATCTTGTGGAGACGGCACAGGTGGCGGCTTGGGGGACGTTAAACGCACGGCACCTTCGGGTATAGTGGAGGACGGTCAGGCGGACGATGGCGGTGGTCCAGGGAGGCGTCATCGGGGCACGCGGCAGCCCGACGCGACATGTCCCGGCAGGCAGCAGTTGTAGCACACGACGAGGCCGCTCCCAGGACGAGGAGAGGTCTTTCGCCGTCGAAGTTGTTCATCCCGTCGCACCATGCCGTCCCCTTACCAGCCTCCGCCTTGGGTCACAGGTTTGGACGGGCTCCACATCTTCGGGTGTATAACACGCCTCACGAGGTGCGGTACACGCCGCCAACCCCTTATGTCATTGCAAGAGCTGGTGCACCTGGATGCATCTTGCAACCTTGAGAGAAGACACATTGTCTTCATCTGCGGCCGGCAGGACGATGTTGAGGTCCTTTGCCAACGTTAACAATCTCTCAAGGACCAGCAAGTCGATTCCGTCATGGTCCATCTTCGGGAAGGCGGCCTTTGCTAGCGCCAATAGTGCACTACAGAAGGCGAGGGGCATCTCGGCCTCCCCCCTCCTCCGCGCAGAGAAAGTAAACTGCACATTTGATGGCGGTTCGTAGATTGCCACCATTTGAGCAAAGGCTTGATGTAGCTTGGCCCTCTCTGACGGCGGGATGGTGAGAAACGCTGCCAAGGCGGCAGCGCTCTCAGCACCTCTGTCCACCACGCCAAGTTGCTGTTAGCTAGGAACCTGCGCTTGAAGGCCACCCAGTCGCCTCTGGTGGCTGAAAATTGTTTAACAAACGGTAGTCGTCGCCTGAGATATGGAATGTCAACAGGCGAATTCGACGCAGTCTCAGATTTGGCGGGCTCTCCGCTCCGCAAGCAAAATGGCAGCCGCTTGCGCGGGCTGCACCACGGAGATTTCCCGTTGGCGGGAAACGGCGATGGAATGCTCGACCCCGCACAGCTCCGGTGCTCTCTCCTCCACCGCTGGCTCTTTGCAGTGGAGCTCCGCAATGATCGCCGCCACGGACTCGAGGAGTTCCGTGAGGCACGAGCGGAAAGTGCGGCGCTCTCTCCACGACGGCGATGAGCTGTCTCTGGGATGGTCGTCGCAATGACATAAGGGGTTGGCGGCATGTACCGCGCCTCGTGAGGCCTGTGATACACCCAAAGATGTGGAGCCCGTCCAAGCCTGCGCATCGACCCAAGGCGGAGGCTGGCGAGGGGACTGCATGGTGCGACAGAATTAACAACTTCAACGGCGAAAGACCTCTCCTCGTCCTGGGCGCGTGCTTGTTGTGTACTACAACTGCGACCTGCAGTTGTAGGGCTGCCGCGTGCCGCGACGACGCCTCCCTGGACCACCACCGTCTTCCGCCCAATCCGTTCTCCACTCCACTATACCCGAAGGGGAATCGCGACATAGCACACACTCGGCCCCTAAATCCACCTCACTCATCACGTTCGGTCGGTTTTCATTCCCGTCATGTGTCGGTGCGCGAGGGTTCGGATGTTGCTCGGGCTGACTGGCCGCTCCGACCGGCTCAGTGGTCGGAGTTGGCCTATTGAGTGTTATCGGATTGGTAGAGGGGGTTGAAATCAGAATACTCATCGATACTGGTGAATCCACGTTTTTCACTTACGAGTTGATTTTTTACATTTTGCCCCCTAAATGTTGTACCCTATGTCCCGTCGGGTTCCATGCTTTGCCGCAAATGGCGGCTCATTGGGCATTATTGGGAAAGTAACAACGGAGGTGTGCATTGGAGATATAAGATTGACGGGACCAGTTCTTGTATCAACGTCCCTTGCGGTTCCTTGCTTACTTGCTTGGATTGCCTTGAGTTACCTTCGGGCCATCGAATGCCCTTTTTGCCTTCTCCCACCCGATTGTGTACAGCCAACGCTACTGTACAAGTGCTTGCGAGCAAGACCGTAAAGATTCCCCCCGGCACGCAGATGTTGGTTCCCTTACGATTGCACAAGCTGCTAGACCAGGAGGCAACTGCGGGAGAAATCCTTCTAGGACCCTCAAACAAAGCCATTCGTGGGTTGACGTTGGTGGGGGCCCAGACTTTGGTATCCAATGACCATGCACCGTTGAATGCAGGGTTTGATACGTGTCATTCAGGAGGGCACCATAGTAGCCCACGCATCGCCCGCAATTCGCGAGGGAAACACCGTCGGCAGTGTGGGGGTCGCGTTGAATACAAAGCCGCAACAGGTTTCTGATGAAAAATGTATGGATACGCTTTGTTCTGAAAATTCGGAATTATCCAAGTCCTATACGGGGGAGTTGAGGTCGCTTTTGCGTAAATTCTCCGATGTGTTTAGCAAGGGCAAATTTGACATCGGCCGCACTACGTTTTTGAGTCACCACATCGAAACGGGCGATGCCGCTCCCATCCAGCAGAAGCCATTTCATCAACCGCCAGAAGACTGGCGGTTGATGAAATGTTGGCCGCCGATATAATCTCGCTGACGCGGACCCTCTTCCTCGGATGGATGATTCCCTGGATGCTCTAGCAGGAGCATGTTATTTTTCGACTCTTGACCTCTTTTTCGGATTTTGGCAGTTGCCGCTAGATGAATCAGTTGCCGCTAGATTAATCTTAGCCCAAGACAGCCTTATGTACGCCACAAGGCTTGAATTTAATCAGCTTCCGATGGATCTTCATTCCGTGCCGGCTACATTCCAGCAATTGATGGAACTGGTTCTAGCCGGCTTCCAGTCGGACTCATGCCTGATATATCTTGATGATGTTATCGTTTTTAGCCGTACGTTCAAAGAACATCTGGAATGGCTACTTGCTGTTTTTCTTAAAATGTGTGCGGCAAAACCTCAAATTTAAATCCCAGAAGTGTCACCTGCTCCAAAAATCTGTTCGGTATCTTGGCCACATAGTCAGTAAATCAGAGATAGTGACAGACCCGGACAAAACCGTGTGTGTACGTTCTTGGCTGACCCCCACGCCGGTGGAGGAGGTGCGAAGTTTAATTGGTTTTGCGTCTTATTACCGCCGTTTTGTCGCCGGGTTTGCCACTATCGCCAAACCTCTCCATGCCTTGATGGCAAAGGGTCAGAAGTTCCATTGGGGGGATAAGGAGGAGGACGCATTTGTTATGCTCCGGGATAGCTTGGTGAACGCCCCTCCCCTCCGATACCCCGACTTTTCCTTGCCGTTCGTCTTTGATACAGATGCTAACAACACCGGAATTGGCACTGTTCTGTCTCAAGTTGTCAATGGTGTCGAGAGTGTTGTCGCATATGGCAGCAGAGTGCTGTCTCCGGCCGAACAACGGTACTGTCACATGCCGGGAACTTTTGGCTATTGTTTGTGCAACAGTATCACCCCTATCTTTATGGCAGACGCTTTGATGTGCGCTCTGACCATGCAGCGCTACAGTATGCGCTGCGTATTGAGTAGCCGTCTGGCCAACTTTCATGTTGGTTGGAAATCCTCCAAGACTATTCCTTTACTGTTTCCTATTGCAAAGGCACCTGACACACGAACACGGATGCCCTGTCGCGATTACCAACGAGCGACGGGTGCGCGTGTTTTTTGGGCTCGGGGCGTTGTAAGGCACCTACCGAGGACTTGCCCCCTCCCCTTGTGGCGTCAGCCAAGGTTGACACCTCTGAGAATGTCGATGGTCCTGTGGC